GAAAGACAACAAACAGGGGAAATCAGCAGCACAAGGGACAATGAATAGAACAGGAGAAGGCTGGTCTTGTTACATGTGGGGACCAGGAACAGGAAACATCACAGTGTCATTCTGCAAACGTGTATAGCTCGAGGAAATAAGCCCAGTGTAATGTTCACAGTAGAAAGATTGTAGTAGCGTTATGCAGTGGTATAGATATCAGGAACCAGACTTCGGCCTAGTTGCGCCCTGACTTATTTTTTACAGATATACCATGACCTGGATAAATGAGAACCTTCACAGACACTTTCCTTGTAAAAGTGTGACTTCAGCTCCAGTGCCCACTAAAGGCATTACATGAAGGAGAAGGTTGACTTCACCCAACAATACAGTGACAGGTGCATATGGGCATCATTCTCTTGCTGTCACTTGAGACCTGCCTTCCCATCACATACTACAAGTAACTCGCAGTTACTCTTCTTGAGACTCTGTAACTCCTCCCAAGGATAAAGGGATTTGGGTTTGGATGCCTGTTTCATCTAACCCCAGGTTGTTGTAGTCATCACTAGTGGTTTTCTGCATCTCCTGTCTTCTCTTCTGCCTTCTCTTTCTTCTCTGACTTTTTCTGCTTACATTCATCTGGTCTGGCCTTAATCTTATCTGCTGCCCTGACAGGTTTTATTTTAGGCTTCTCTTGCTCCCCCAACTAATTCAAGAGATTAGTGGCCGCATTAATTTTGCTGTTTTATTCCAGGCTTCCCAGCCAAGACAGTCAAGGGGCCCTAAGATTAAATGTGCAGACTTCATCAGCTTAGAGTGCACAGTAGACGTGAAGGGTGCCATATTTTGACCCATCCATTCTGGAATATTGTTTTGGTTAGTTATAGAACCAATCTCATGTAACCTAATACCTTCACATATCATTCTCCACAAAAAGGTACACACAGCCCACCATAGACCCTGCATAGCCACCTGAGAGTCCCAACAGCCCACCATAGAACCTGAACAGCCCACCTAAAATTCCCCACAGCCCACCATAAAACCTTCACAGCCCACCCTATACCCCTCATAGCCCACCATTGACCCAGCATAGCCCACCTGAGAGTCGACACAGCCCACCCTAGACCCCGCATAGCCACCTAAGGGTCCGCCCAGTTGAGAGTCTGCACAGCCCACCATAGATCATGCATAGCCCACCTAAGAGTCCGCACAGCCCACTATAGAACTTGCACAGCCCACCTGAGAGTCCACACATCCCACCATAGGACCCCACACAGCCCACCATAGACCCAGCATAGCCCACCTGAAAGTCCACACAGCCCACCATAGAACTTGCATAGCCACCAGAGAGTCTGCTGAGCTTGCCTGAGATTCTGCACAGCCCACCATAGAACCTGCACAGCCCACCTGAGAGTCCACACAATCCACCATAGACCCCCACATAGCCACCTGAGAGTCCACACAGCCCACCATAGAACCTGCATAGACCACCCGGGAGTCTTCACAGCCCACCATAGAACCTGCACAGTCTACCTGAGAGTCCGCAAATCCCACCATAGAACCTGCACAACCACCGTAGAGAATGCATAGTCCTCTATAGCCGATTTTCATTTTGCATTGCTGAATAATGTATCGCTGGGAATAGTAGTCTTCTATAGCTTGTGATATTCTGCATTGTTGTATAGTGATTTGTAGTCACTTTACAGCTTGAGTCAATGGCAGAATTACCAGGGGGCACTACCATGGGTGAGTACTAAAAGTATCGGTACTCGTATTCGGTCTGGAAAAAATTATATTAATTTCAAACTGCAACTATTACTTTAAAAAAACCAAGACAGAGGGGTCTATTCACTAAGCTGCCGTAGGCAGCCGAGTGAATGACCGACCTGAAGTGAAGTGAGCCAAACACTGTTCGGCTATTCACTTCAGGCTGGTACGGCTTATTTCAGCCGTACATCGGCTGAAATCAGCCGTACATCGGCTTGCTTCGTGTGGCTTCGGGTTGGCCGAAAATGCTCAGCATGTTCGGCCGACCCGAAGTGCAGAAGGAGTTCGACTCAGCCGATCCAACATCTGGATCGGCTGAGCCGAACCTCCGGCAGGCTACTCACTGCTGTACGGGCTATTCTTAAAGATGCCGAACAGCAGTGAGTGAATAGCCGAATGCAGCTGAGCGGCATTCGGCTGGGCTGTTCTGCTCGGTACCTCAGAGGTACCGAGCAGAACAGAAAAATAGTGAAAAAAGTTTTTAAAAAGTATATAGAAAACGATTGTGCGGAGCTAGCAGTGAGAGCTAGCTCCGCCCAATAGTTTCCTATTGTCCGGCGGGTCTGCTGCTGTAAAAAAAAGAAGAAAAAAAAACTCTCCCGGCCGCCAAGATGAGAAACACTGCTATGTCTTTTTTTTCTTTATTCTGACACGAGCGATGTCAGAATAGAAAAAAAAAAAAATTCCCATTGAAAAGCATTGGTACAGCCAATTGCAATATTGCAGCTATTGCAATAGCCAATAGTAAACTAGCATTGTACCCGCCCTCTGCCGATGGACCTGATGGAGAACTGCAGCAGAGGGCGGGTACAATGCCAGTTTACTATTGGCTATTGCAAATTGAAATAGCCAATAGTAATGTAACAATGCTTTTAAAAAAAAGCCCAGAAGCAGGCATTGGCCGGCCGCTCGGCCAGCTTCGGCTTTCAGCATGGCTCAGCCGAGCCGATGCGTATGCGTTCGGCTCGACTAAGCCGTTCGGCCATGTTCGGGAGCTGTACGGGCCTGGGGCCGAAGCTAGCCGAAGCATTGGCCAAAGCTATGGCCAGATCCTTCGGCAGCTTCGTGAATAGACCCCAGACAGTTTTTAAAAGACACTTAATTAAAAGAATCTAACCACAGGGATCCAGGGTATCTGTTGGTATCGCTAGTGTACCAACATGGAAAGCATCCAAAGATTGTACTTCCAATAGCCACCAATTTAAGTGGGACACTCGGAGGGTTATTCACACTTCGGCTCACTTCGGCCGCCGGAGCCCTACGGTTCAGCCAAACCGATGGGCTGCTGTACGGGCTATTCACAAAAGCTGAGCTGAACACATACGATTCGGCTTGGCTGAGTCAAAGTCACAGGCTGAAGCGGGGAGAAAAGTCTGCCCGCAACTGACAACATCTGGGCAGAGCCAGCTGTAATGTCATGGCTGCCTCCGCCCAGTTGTTGTCATTCAATGACAGCCCAGCATCCTCAAGTTATTTCAGGACACTGGGCTGTCATTAAGTGACAACAACTGTGACGTCACAGCCGACTCTGCCCATTTGTTTTGATTTGTCCGGGACCTGCGGGAAGACAGTGACAGGTGGCGGACAAATGTAACAGTTGGGCGGAGCTAGCAGTGATGTCACCACCAGCTCCGCCTGATCACTTATATTTTGCTGACATCTATCAAAATGCCATTTGCGCCGGGTGTGCGTCGCGTGCTGTCAGGTCGGCGGGCGTCAGGTTTTTTTCTTATTTCAATGAGTTGTCATCGTCGTTGACAACAATGGACGTCTAGATTGACCCTCAATTTAGATAGTTGGATCAATTTTTGGTCATTTTTTTTTAAAAAAGAAGTCAAATATTTTAGTTGTTTTTTTTTTCAATTAAAGGATTTTTTACAAATGTCTGGCCTCTTTATTTACACTTTATTTAACCTTTCAGTGAATGAGTAAGGGTAATGCCCCCTGCCCACTGTTTACAATCACCTGCCGGCTGTGGAATCTAGCCAGCAAATGAATGGGGTTGCAGAGGGTTGCTTGAGAGTTACTATTAACTATCAAGCAGCCAGAAACTACAGTTATCCGGCATCTACCAATCCCTATGGGTGCTACATAACTGGGAGTTTACTGTATACACAATTGTTACTTAGCTTTTGAATAGGGACTTGTATCAGTTATTATGGTTGATGCATTCTTCTGCAATGTTTAAGATGGAGTTTCTTGCTTGGTCAGGGAGCACAGGCTTGGTTGCTCACTTTACTTTCCATCCTGGAGCTCTGCTTGTTCTCCACAAACACATGGCTGTGTGATCTGATTTCCTGCCACCATCACTTCCTGTTTAACAAGCCCTTTTGAAGTAGCTAGGCAAGTAAATTAGCATGTAAAAAGAAGAAGCCCAGCTACTGACTGAAACTCACTGGAAACGCAATTAAACCTTTAACTTAAAAATGGTAGCCATAATTGATATTCCACACTTGTTACAAAAAAATCACTAAAATGGGCAAAGCAACACATAGTAGACACCTGAGTACCAATGTACACATAAGAAACCTAGACAGGTGGCCGCCAAAGGTATAGCATGCCGCAGCAATGGTCATCTAGTAATAACAAAAAACAACCCTTGCATTATATGTGTTAGACCTGTAATTTGAATTCTTTAAATGTGGTGACATCATTACTCACCAGAAATTAAAATATCCTTGTTTCAGTGGCCCCCTGGCAGGTGACACAGGATCACCTGAGGCATGCTAAGTGACAGTAGGTCTTCACCAGAGCTCCTGAAGGTGGAGATGGGCCATAGCCCATAGTTTGCTTTGCTGCCACTTCAACGCCAGGAGCTTAAATACTCTTTTGGTACAGGAAGGCCTGGTAGGGATTCTGCACATACCATTGGAAGGACTGTCTTGGAGTCTGGGCATACCGTTTGAATAACCGGCTGGGACTAGCTGAGAAGCTGCTATATCAATCAGCAGGTGAGGTCAGGGGATGTCCAAAATTGCCAGACAAGTGCAACAGCCAGGAACAAGAAGACTGCATGTTTATGGAGCTTTATTGGAACAGAAAAGCCTTGCATGTTATTAGAACTACAGGTAACACAATAGCCTTGCATGTTTGCAGAACTAAAAGTACTAGATCAGCTGCAGAGCTGATCTGTGAGAATATTTAATTAGAAATATTATATGTTTGCATATTACTTCTGTAGCTTGGATATAAATAAATATGTTAACTTGAAAACTAAGTAAGATATGCTGCTGTATAAACCTTGTTTATTCCAGATCACATTGCACACATCATTGAGCTTCTTGAAGATATCCCTCCACACTTTGCACTGTCAGGCCGTTACTCCCGAGAGTATTTTACACGTAGAGGTAAGTCAATGGACCATCAAGGTATTCTTTCAGATCTAAAATATGTTTGCTTAACTTACTAGTCATACCTACATTATTAGTTTACTTATGCAGGAACTTGTTATGTTTGGACTTCTGGCAACAGAGCTACTTTAATAATAGGGGCAAGTGGGGCAGGTGCCCCAAGTCCACCTCTCCAGGGGGGCCCCCATGCTAGTATATAAGCGCTGTCTCCGCTACCATCTCGCAGAGGACAGCTTGAAACTAAGCCTGGTTCCCTGGCTGCTTAGCTATAGCAAGCTGTAGCATGGAAGGCCTTTTTTTGTGACTGCCAGACAGTTTTAGAAAGTAAAATGGTTCTCATATACACGATATTGCCAAATGTATTGGGACACCCCTCCAAATCATTGCATTTAGGTGATCCAATCACCTCCATGGCCACAGGTGTATAAAATCAAGCACCTAGGCATGCAGACTGCTTCTACAAATATTTGTGAAAGAATGGGTCGCTCTCAGGAGCTCAGTGAATTCAAGCGTGGTACCGTGATAGGTTATCACCTGTGCAATAAGTTCATCCGTGAAATGTCCTTGCTACTAAATATTCCACAGTCAACTGTTAGCGGTATTATAACAAAGTGGAAGCAACTGGGAACAACAGGAACTCAGCCACAAAGTGGTAGGCCACATAAAATGACAGAGCAGGGTCAGGGCATGCTGAAGTGCACAGTGTGCAGAAGTCGCCAACTGTCTGCAGAGTCAATAGGTACAGACCTCCAAACTTCGTGTGGCCTTCAGATTGGCACAACAACAGTGCGTAGAGAGCTTCATGGAATGGGTTTCCATCGCCGAGCCGCTGCATCCAAGCCTTACATCACCAAGTACAATGCAAAGTGTCAGATGCAGTGGTGTGAAGCACGCTGCCACTGGATTTTAGACGTTTTCTCTGGAGTGACGAATCACGCTTCTCTGTCTGGCAATCCGATGGACGTGTCTGGGTTTGGCGGTTGCCAGGAGAATGGTACTTACCTGACTGCATTTTGCCAAGTGTAAAGTTTGGTAGAGGGGGGATTATGGTGTGGGGTTGTTTTTCAGTTGTTGGGCTTGGCCTCTTAGTTCCAGTGAAGGGAACTCTTAAGGCATCAGCATACCAAGACATTTTGGACAATTTCATGCTTAACTTTGTGGGAACAGTTTGGTGATGGTCCTTTCCTGTTCCAACTTGACTGCGCACCAGTGCACAAAGCAAGGTCCATAAAGACATGAATGAGTGAGTTTGGGGTGGAGGAACTTGACTGGCCCGCACAGAGTCCTAAAATCAACCCGATAGAACACGTTTGGAATGAATTAGAGCGGAGACTGCGAGCCAGGCCTTCTCGTCCAACATCAGTACCTGACCTCACAAATGCGCTTCTGGAAGAATGGTTAAACATTCCCATAGACACACTCCTAAACCTTGTGGACAGCCTTCCCAGAAGAGTTGAAGCTGTTATAGCTGCAAAGGGCGGGCCAACTCAATATTAAGACTGGGACTAAGACTGGGATGCCATTAAAGTTCATGTGCGTGTAAAGGCAGGCGTCCCAATACTTTTGGCAAGATAGTGTATGTGTTTAATCTGTGTCTTTAGCATTTTGCCTGGAGTTCAACTTTAAATGGTCTTAGGGCGCTTCCATTGTGAAATCTTTGCACCTCAGTACACAGGTTTGCAATTACAAGGGGGTGCTTTGTTATCTGTTGGAATTTTTTAAATTTTCTTTATAGAGAATGCAGCATTCATATGTTAAAAACCCTTGAGCCTAATTATTTTGCTCTAGCTAAGGTATTAGTGTCAGCATTTGTATTCCCCACCCCACTCAGTCCATCATACACATGCTATAAATGCTTACAGCTTCATTGTCACTCCTGAGTTATTTCCTGTATGGCCCTGTCTAGTGCAACACAGCTTTTGAAAGGGAAACATCCTGACTAGGTCATGTGCCTAGTGCGCACTCACTCAGTGGCCTTGTTTATTTCTATGGATGGCCTGTACTCATGGTAGCCCCCACCCATGCAGTGTTTGGAGAGACCTTTTATAGGAATGAATGGCACATCTGCATGTGTGCACTAGGCACAAGATGTATTTGTTGCAAAGTTTGCCGGACAGAGCTGTACAGTGAAGAACTTGGGAGCGGGGATCAAAGTAAGCATTTTAGTATGCTGGCAGCACACTAAAATGGGGTGGTGGTGTATTTGGAAGACTATTTCACTACAGTACAAGTAAAGTTGGTCTTAAGGTTATGGAGAGGATTGGATTAAGTGTTAGGACATGGTTAAGTGTTAATTTTTCAGGGCCAGGTGTCAGGTTTGTGTTGGGGGGGTTGTTAAGTGGTAAGGGGTTAAGATTTTACAGTTAGTTTAAGCATTGGCATGTAGACTATAATAGAGTTATTTATTGGAATCATCTTAAGTGTTGGAGATATGTTTTTACATACAGTATACAGTAAAATGCCCATTACCTGGCATCCACGGGAATTGGTAGATTCTGGATAAATGTAGTTTCTGGTTGCTTGAGAGTTACTTTTAAAAATAGGTTTAACTAATGCTATACCCCATTCTGTACCATACCATAACATAATCTCTTTATTGACTTCATATTAATATTGAAATAAAGTAATTGAAGAAAATTAAGTCAAACAGACACACTTAGCATTAGTGCTGCAATACAGGTGCTCTAATACAGGTGATGTATTGCTGTGTGCACCGTGGCTGCCTGACATTAGGACTGGAGAGCTACAGTATATTGTAATCTATGGACAATACAGTGCAGCATAGGGAGTGATGACTAGGTGGCACTTGTTCACAGAAGATCCAAGTCCACAGGATAATAAAGCACTTTTCACAGACGATCATCAGAAACTTTTTCCCAGGATAATACAGCACTTTGCACAGATCGTTCAGACACTAATTTCAAGGTTATTACAGCACTTTTCGGCCTGCCTACCTTCCCATGCTGCAAAGCCCTCTCTCCCTCTCCTAGAAGTTCACAGAACAGTGAGTGCACAGTGGATTTTTTTTTTGCCGGTTAGATTAGAGCTCCGGTGAGTTGAATACAAGATAACAGAGAGTTTACTGTATATAGTTTTCACATTTTGCTTATTTTATATGTATCTCAAGTTGTATGACAACATATGATTTAACCATGTTCTCATTCATTTCCACAGGGGAGCTTCGGCATATACACAACCTAAAACACTGGGGCCTGTTTGATATCTTGGTGGAGAAGTATGAGTGGTCATTGGAAGAAGCCACTCAGTTTTCAGACTTTCTATTGCCTATGTTAGAGTTTATTCCAGAAAAAAGGGCCACAGCCACTCAGTGCCTGCAGCACCCCTGGCTTAACTCCTAACTGTAACCATGTGTTTACTTTATCGGTGTCAAAGCTAATAACTATTGGCGAGCAACAATGTCATAAAGAGAACTGCTTCTAGAGATGTTACTACTGTTTCAATTATTTTATATGACTTACAGTTAGTGGGTATGAGTGAGGAATATCGTATGAACTCAAACAAAAGGAAGCTCCATTTATTTACCTTTGGTTCATCATCCTTCACAGCAACAGTATAATTCGTTGAATGTTATTGTAAGTGAGATGAAATATGTAGACTGTAAAATTTGGCATGAATGAAATGGTCTTCAATCTTTCACATAACCTTTACAAGACTCTCTGCTTCTAAACGAAACAGCAGTTCAGATTTTAAAGTAATGAGACATATTTTACAGATTTATTTAAAAAGGATTGTGCCGTGGTTATGTGCAAATTGCAATAACCAGTGGCAAACAAATTTCTTCTTCTTCCTAATTTGACTATAACCAAAATTTTATTGGTAGCTGCCTGTTTCTTCCCTCTAAACATATTCAATGCATTTTACTTTGCCATACTGAACAAATTATATAATCATTTCAGGATGACATAAAGGGGATGTAGAGGAGCAAACCTGATTTCCTTTTTTTCCTATGTCACCGTTTATTTAATGGTCCCCTGCTGAGCACTTCTTCCTCTAAGTCCTGTATGTGCTGCTGTCAGTGCTTTGGCCCAGATTAGACTTCTGTTGAGCCATCTCAATAACACTCTGGCTGAGGAAGTTTTGGCTATGGCACCTGGAGTTGTGAATGCCTATCATAAGATCTGAACCTAAACAGGCCCCTGTAATTGGGTTGCTGAGGAAGATCAGAATTGTACCTTTTGCCCTTTTCCTTAAAGAAGAACTCCAGGTTTAGGAAAATTAACCCTTGCAGTGGAGCTAAGCTACCCATGCACTGCAAGGGTTAACTGCTTGTTTTATTCTAGGAGCAAAATAAAAAAGATATACTCACCTGAACCTCGGCCCTGCAGCAGTGACGGCTCACCTCTCTCCTCCTCCACTCTAACTGTGGTACGCCCCTCAGAGTCCTCATGTCTAACAGACCTGTATTAGATGTGATGATGTCATCAAGACTTAGATCTCTGGAGCCTGGGGGTAGAAGAGGCTGCATGGACCAGTCTAGCAGCCAGACGGGATCGAGGATCAGGTGATTATATCTTTTTTGTTTGCACCCCTAGACCAAAACAAGCTATTTAAACCTTGCAATGGGGAGGGGGGTAGACCCACTGCAGGGCTTATCTTTCAAAAAAAATCTTGGAGTTCCTCTTTAATAGTAAACAAAACCTGCGCTAATGGAAACACAGAACAAAGAACCAGACTAGCTAGAAGCTGCTAAAATCAGACGGTGAGCGCTAAAAGCCTCTCCGTGATACACTCAAAGGTGCAATGTTAAATTCAAAACTGCAATAGAGTGTTTAAGCAATAATAATCACATTATAATAAAATGCAAATAAATCAGACCTCTATAAGAGGAAAAATTAGAAAAAGTGCACGATAAGTAGCAATTATGTATATGTAAAAGCATAAACCAACAAACTATTAATACAAAGTTCAAGGAAAATCTCTGTTTAAAACCTCTCTCGGAGGAAAAGGCAGGTGTGACTGTGAAGTGTCTAAACAAACTCAATAAAAGAACAAAGTCTATTGTCTCCAAGGATAAAACAAACAGGGAAGTCAATGTGTTTCCCAGGAGACGATCCCCCTCTAGGGTATGCACTCACCAAAGGTAGGATGTTATCAAAGCAGTCAATCTCGCCGAGATGGAAGCCGGAGCCCAACGTCCTCTCGTCCTAGGAACTCGCTAGAATCCCGCAGTCATCTCCCAATAAAGGAAGAGAGCAATGACGCTCAAAGTGTAACAAACGAGGATTTATTATGTATAAAAACAATAACGCTTAGATAAAAAGAAATAAAACAAACAGCCGGCCGGTCAAACGTGACTCTCCAGACAGAAGGTGTGACGTGAATGAAGGCCCGCCCCGACGCGTTTCATCATATAGACGTTATCAAGGGATGGCAGGTCTACATGAGTCACACTCCAGTCTGCCATATATACTCTAGAGTACGAGCATTAATTGCAATCACATGCGATAGAAGGGGTTGGAACAATCACAAACACAATACCATTAACTATTAATACCCGCAGATATACATATAATTAGACATATAAGAACATATACAATATATAAAAACATTGTACATATTAAAAAAATATTATTATTAGCACAACCAGAATCTTATGTTTACGTTGTACATGATATATTACTAAAAAGAATAAAGATGTGTATAAAGGATCTTTAGTTTAATAATTTATACACTTATCTTTAAAGAAGACGAACTTCGTAGTGTTAGAATCTCATCAGTATACATAAATAAATAAAGGGGAAGACGGCTAATATTTACCTATTACTCAAGAAATAGGCAACCAAAGGCCTTAACATAGAATTTGATCTCAATTGTTTCTTGAGTAATAGGTAAATATTAGCCATCTTCCCCTTTATTTATTTATGTATACTGATGAGATTCTAACACTACGAAGTTCGTCTTCTAAAGAATTCTTTAAAGATAAGTGTATAAATTATTAAACTAAAGATCCTTTATACACATCTTTATTCTTTTTATTAATATATCATGTACAACATAAACATAAGATTCTGGTTGTGCTAATAATAATATTTTTTTAATATGTACAATGTTTTTATATATTGTATATGTTCTTATATGTCTAATTATATGTATATCTGCGGGTATTAATAGTTAATGGTATTGTGTTTGTGATTGTTCCAAACCCTTCTATCGCATGTGATTGCAATTAACATAGTCACTCTAGACCCTTGTCTCTCAACTGGTGGGTCGTGACCCAAAAGTGGGTCGCGACCCCGTGTTCAGTGGGTCACCGCATGCCTTCAACTTTTCTAGGTGAGAGGCCCCTCTGCCTCCCCATAGCACAGCACTCAGTTCTCATGCCAAACAGCCTTTCAAGATATGCTGCCCGGCACTGAGTGCCAGCTTGAGGTGGGGTTAGGATGGGATGGGGCTATGGCTGCGAGGGAGCTCCATCCATAAGTACATTGCTTACAGCTCCCTCTCATGTCCTGTAGATGTGCCTGGACCAGAGTTACGTCACATTCTGGGTCCCGTCACCTCTACGGGGCACGCAAGGGTGCTGTATCAGCAATGCACATATGGATGGAGCTCCATCACAGCATAGCACACTGGACCCCAGGCTGAGGACTGGGGTAGGATGGGATGGTTCTATGGCTGCGAGGGAGCTCCATCCATAAGTACATTGCTTACAGCTCCCTCTCATGTCCTGTAGAGGTGCCTAGACCAGAGTTACGTCACATTCTGGGTCCCGTCACCTCTACGGGGCACGCAAAGGTGCTGTATCAGCAATGCACATATGGATGGAGCTCCAGCACAGCACACTGGACCCCAGGCTGAGGATCCACTCCAGTTCTCATAAGATCAGTAGACTAGGTGGATCTTTTGGAGTGTGTATATGTGTGTGTAAGAACGTCTGAGTGTGTGAGATTGTGTCTGTGATTCTGTGTGTCTGTCAATGTTTTTGAGGGCCCGTACACACTACTACAGTGCGTTAAAAGCGCAGTCCCATGCGATTAAGACACTGTACCGTGCAAAATCGCACCTACTGCAAATTCTGGTGTGGAAGGTGTGTTGCATTGCCATTCATTTGAATGGCACCCCAAACACACCTCCCACCCAATCGCCTGCATCGGAACGCACTGTACCGCAATGTTGTGCGTTTCAGTGCGGTGCGACTTGGGTCATCAATTAATTACCAAGGTCAAATGTGTGTCCTGAGGTTACACAGGTTGAGAACCACTGCTCTAGAGTATATATGGCAGACTGGAGTGTGACTCATGTCGACCTGCCATCCCTTGATAAAGTCTATATGATGAAACACGTCGGGGACGGGCCTTCATTCACATCACACCTTCAGTCTGGAGAGTCACGTTTGACCGACCGGCCGGCTGTTTGTTTTATTTCTTTTTATCTAAGCGCTATTGTTTTTATACATAATAAATCCTCGTTTGTTACACTATGAGCATCATAGCTCTCTTCCTTCATGGTCTTTATTTGGAGATGACTGCGGGATTCTAGCGAGTTCCTAGGATGAGAGGACGTTGGGCTCCGGCTTCCATCTCGGCGAGATTGACTGCTTTGATAACATCCTACTTTTGGTTGAGTGCATACCCTAGAGGGGGATTACCTTTTTGGCTTTGTCGGACACATCACAGAAGTAGCATCTCCTGGGAAACACATTGACTTCACTTTTTGTTTTATCCTTGGAGAGAATAGACTTTTTTCTGTTTACTTTTTTTTCTCTTGGGATTTTTTTGACTAGTCATAAGGATTTAAAAGAATTTTTTTCTCACATGGGAATTGCCTTTTTGCTACAATGCAACTGTTTTTTTGTTGCAAATAGATTCACACTTTTTTAGCAACATTATTTATTATTTTGTTCTTTTATTGAGTTTGTTTAGACACTTCACAGTCACACCTGTCTTTTCCTCCAAGAGAGGTTTTGAACAGAGATTTTCCTTGAACTTTGTATTAATAGTTTTTTCGTGTATGCTTTTAAATATACATAATTGCTAGTTATCGTGCACGTTTTCAAATTTTTCTCTTATAGAGGTCTGATTTATTTGCATTTTATCATAATGTGATTATTATTGCTTAAACACTCTATTGCACTTTTGAATTTAACATTGCACCTTTGAGTTGCTCTACTTACCTTACATATGATTTATTAAGTTTTAATTCTGCTTTAAAATCGCATTTCCACTCAGATCTGGTTGAAGTGTAATAAACACTCAGCTTTATGTACACTCTATTTGGCTTTTTTTTAATTCTCAAACTGAACCATGTGTGGAGTATCAGTCTGCCTGCACCTTTCTCTGCTTCTGCAAGGCTTTAGCCCCACAGAAGGCTATTGGTAACTCCATTATCACATACATATTTTCCAACTATAGATTGGAGCAGAACTGTAACCCATGTTGAGAGTTATCTACATGTTACACCTTCTCCCTCATTTATGAGAATAGAGTTCATGAAAAGTCTTTATAGAGCAATACACTACAAAGCACCTGTTGACTCAATATAAGTATCTCCCATTTAAATATT